TGAGGCAATAGGAACACTTGGAATTCTTCGGTGAAACCCCCATTAGCCAAACTGTAGTCAAGTGTGAGAGGCACCCTTAATTTTCCCCCATTACAGTAGTGGTCAAAATTGTGAAAACCTTTTGGGAAAAGTCTATTTTTGAGGGTTGATCGCTAATAACACCACCTTTTTTTTTTAGAATAGTACCATAAAATTATAGATCAATGGAAAGATAATTTCATCAAAGTTGTAATCCAACAAAGTTTGTTCAATTATCAGTACTGTGTTCTATGAAAAGTTCTAGCCAAATAACCAGAAAAAGGAAGTACAACTTTCTTAGGTTGATATCAGGTAGCTTTCCTTCATCTGATTATAGCCAATGAGCATGAGTATTTAGAGAGCCAATCGGGTGTCTTCTTGTTTTGGCAATGAGCCAATCGGATCACAGTAGGATTCAGTTATTGATGTCATGTATTGAAGCTGAGAGCAGGACGTTATGTGATCGCTGTCAGGTTGGTTGGGGTTTTTTTTGTGTTCTTTCATTTAGTGAGCTTGTAAAACGTAGTAAGATTTAAAGTAATGGTGCAAAGAGTTGACTGGTCGCCCAGAAAGCAATGTAAAATAGTATAGTATTATTAAGTGAACAAGGCTACAGTTATAAAGAAATTAGGAAATTAAATTAAATCATTGGAAGAGTTAAAACAGGATAATGTACTCCAGTCCTGGTTGTTACATCTCCAACTTGTTGAGAGATGGCATATAGACCAAAAATTGGGTTTAATGTTAGAAGATGTGAACTTGATAAAACAGATTAAAGATCAAAGTAGAGCCCATATTAGGAGAATATATAGTGTTTTGATAGAATTTGATTCGGAAACGGAATTGGTTAAAGATTGTATGATTAAATGGGCTCAAAATATCCAAGAACCAATTAAACTGGAAACTTGGGAGAAAATTTGGGTAAGAAATGTCAAGTTCACTCAAGCACAGAACTTAAGGGAAAATTTCTATAAAATGTTTTATAGATGGCATTTGGATCCTCAAAAATTGTCTTGCATGTATCCGAATTTGCAACCAAAATGTTGGAGATGTGGTAGTATGGATGCTACTTATTATCACATTTGGTGGACATGTAGGGATGTTAAAGCTTTTTGGATTAAGATTTGGTGGAATATTCANTGAGAAACTCTCATTTAGGCCTTTAGGTGGAGAGTCTTTGAGGGAGGCCTTGATGGAAGGGGGGAAGGGCACAATTGGAGCAGGTAAAGTTTGGGGGACCTGAGCTTCCCCTCCTCTCTCACCCCACCTTCCCTGCCCTCCAACAGTTCAGGCCCTCCAAAAAGCTGCTTCTTTCCCTCTCAGTCGCTCCCTCTTTCCACCTCCTGCCTCCTCTCCTCCTTCCTCCTCCGCCCCCCTCACTTTCCTCTCCTCCTCCTCCTCCTCCTCCTCCTCCTCCTCCTCCTCCTCCTCCTCCTCCTCTTCTTCTTCTTCTTCTTCTTCTTCTTCTTCTTCTTCTTCTTCTTCTTCCTCCTTCTTTCCCCCCAGAGCCTCAGATTGGAGCCTCCATAGGATGAGGGTCCTTGACTGGAGCCCCCTAACTCTGCCCCTCTGGGTCCCTTCCAGGCGCCTCCTCGCACTCCCTGAAGTATTTCTACTCCTCCATCTCGGAGCCCAGTCAGGGGCTGCCCCATTTTGTCGCTGTGGGATACGTGGATGGTCAGGTCTTTGCTCACTACGACAGCAACAGCCGGAGGATGCAGCCTCGAGTCTCCTGGATCGGGAAGGTGGGGATGGAGGACCCCCAATACTGGGACAGAAACACCCAGAGAGAACGTAGCAATGAGGAGACGTCCAGAGAAAACCTGGAGATTGCGAGGACTCGCTACAATCAGAGCGAAGGTGAGTGATGGGTCAGGTGGCTCCTCCTGCCCCATAATCCCCTCCCCAGGAACCAGAGGGGGGAGAAAGGGGGGTCCCTTCAAAGGAAAGGCTTCTTCCCCACATTTAAAAACGTTTTTAATATGTTTATTCTGTTTTTTAAAATCAGTATAAGCTTGTCGTTGCCTCCATAGCTGATGTTTTCTCCCAATTGCAGTTAATAAAAACATTTTTAAAGTTATCCCTCTATCTCCCTGTATACTGATAGGATGTGGATATGGATATAAACTGAGATAAAGAGAGACCGAAATCTCCCTTCCCCCCCATGAAAGTTGGAGGGTCCTGGCCTTGGTGAACCCCCTGCTGTGGGGGAGGGAGGGGATCCCAGGTCTCTCCCTTCCCGGAAAAGAAGCAGCTGGATCCTAAGGAGATCCTGGGGGAAGCAGGTCCCTGTTTTTCTGTTTGTTTCCACCCCAGAGAAATGAGGGATCAATTTCAGATCCATCTGGGCTGAGTAGATCCCTCTCTTTCACCTCTTTTTGGGGGGACGAGTGGAGGAACCCTTGAACTATTTTTCAGGCCTCGGGGAACCCCTGAACATCCAGGCTCAGAGATGGGGCAGAATTGTTTCCCGCGTAGACCTGGAGAGATGCATTAACAGCGTTCTTACACTAAGAATAAAAACTTGCCTTTTCAGTGTGATCCCTGTGCTTTTTTTTTCAGCACAAATATTAAATTCTGTGCCAAACTTGCAATGAACAAAAACAGATTTCATCTTCAACTGAAATAAGACGGTTTCTGTCTTAGCTTTTGATGCTTCTGACTCTTCTTGGGCAGAAATCCAGAACCGTTTTTCCCCCTGGGCAGATCAGGGAATCTCCTCTGGAGGGCAGGATCAGACTGTACTTACTCAGACTGTACTTACACAGACTGTACTTACTCAGACTGTACTTACAAGTGGTTTTCCCTCAGATTTGAGAGTTTCTGGCATCCTTCCTCATTCTGAAGCCCAACCAGAAGTAGAAACATTTCAACTCTTCCTTTTGGGTTTTTTTTTCAAACATTCAGTTTTCTTTTAAATCCCAGAATCTGGTCACTTAAAGTCAAAATATTTTCTCCAGGACCTTGCATAGACTGTAAACTTCAAACTTCATTTCAAAGGTCAATAATCCTTTGGGGGGAGCAGATCAGATTGGGCCACTTGCTGCTGTTGCTAAGGAAAATATTCCTTTGTGGCCCTTCAAGGCTTCATTTCCACAGTGTACAAAGCCATGGTTTGTTTCTGGTTAGCCCAAAAAGGGAGCCAGCCTTGTGACTTGGTGATATTTGGGAAAATAGATCAAGATTTATGGTCACAGGGATCCTTGCAAGCTTCTTTGCAGATCAACCAGATTCTGTCTGAGGCCATGAGATTCTCAGTCCCTCTTTGGGGCTGCAGATTCAGGCAAATGTTCCCTCTCTGGGATCCCTTCCTTTCCCCCCGAAGAGTCTCCCCAACAGAGGAACTGCAGAAGGAAAGAAGGGAGAGGCTCCGTCCCGCCGTTTCTTCTGCGACTCCTTCTTTTCTTGATCTCCCTCGGGATCCTCCGCTGGCTTTTCCAGCTTCCCTTTTCCTGGGGAGGTTCAGGTGCTCCATCTTGGGTGGGGGAAAATTCAGGGAGACAGGTCGAGGGAGGGGAGAAGGGCGGTTACTGAGGGGGGCTTTCTTTCCCTTGATTGCTAGGGAGGAAATGGGGGCGTCATTGCCTGGGTGAAAATCCCTGCAGGGAAGGGGGTCTGTGTCTATCTTGAGGAATCCCCAAACCATCATCACCTTCCTATTACAGGCTTTCACACGTTGCAGGTGATGTGTGGCTGTGAGCTCCAGGCTGATGGGAGAAAAGGAGGATTTTGGC